ATGCTGGCCCATCAGGCATTTTGGTTCTAATTTTAATTATTTGTTGTACTTTTTTAACCCCACACCCATACTATCAGCATTTAATAGTAAGGTTAAAGACGGAGCGCCGCTTCCATTCAATAGCCGACTGCCGATTTCCGTAGTCCCAGTGCACTGAAACCGGTTTAACAAAAGAACAGCCGGTTCCGGAGACAAATATTTTGAATTCTCGGCTGCAGAGCAAAGTGATCAATGCCGTGGATTTAGGTCCTGACCCTTTGGAGGGAAAACCCATGAGCGGAAAAGCAGCTTGTGACAAAATGCTGAAGAGTTGGGGTGTTGTCGCAGAGGCTCTCACCCATTGGCAGGAGGTGGCTTGTTCCACTGGCATTTTGGCAGCCAGCATCAGACAGGCAGCTCTTTTAGTACAGCCTTGCCCGGTGGTGCTTATATGCCTTTCGGTGTTGCACAAATCCCTGCCAAAGCACCTCAGCATGGACTAGAGGTGTTTGCTGCCTCTGTGCTGCTGTAGCGGGCAGGAGCTCGCCGGGGAGCAGGGAGAGAGGACGGTCACTCTCCACTATCACTGGACTTCTTCTATTACGCTTTTAAAATGCATTGGTGAAATAGGTGGTTTGGCACGGCTATTTTTTTTTCCCCTGAAAACCAGTACTATTAGCAGGGTGTAAAACAGGGCTGCTGGCTCCCGGCATGCTGCGGAGACGCTGGCGGTGAGGAGGCTTGCTTGGCCGCAAGAATGAGCTAAGCAAGGTATAAAACAGTTTGGTCTTGTCTGCGTTACTACAGCCCTGCTGTGTTACAGACACCGTAGGAAAACGCGCTGCAAGCGTTGGGTGTAGCTCAGAATCGAAGCGGTCGAAGGAAAAAATCCTGCCACGGACAGAGAGAAATGGAGGTCTCGGGAAAACGGAAGGGCACGATGCAAGCAACGCAGAGGGATCGGGCTCTGGCTTCCTTAGCTCACCTGCAGTGTACTGATGGCTAGTATTTCATCACCATCTCCACAGGGCGGAGGGACGCCTTGGTCCCCGACCCCCCCAGCCCATGGCTGGGCCCCTCCTGCCCTTCTTCACGGCGGGCGTTAAAGGCTGCACAAAGCACCGGGCAGGTGCCACATACCAGCTGCCCCAACCTGCTCCCCGCTGCCTTTAGAGGCTTCCTACCGGGAGGTCCACTTTTAAATTTTGGTTGATTTTGGAACAGTTCCTCCACGGGAGCGAGTCAGTCCTGCCAGAGCTCTCCCTGAGCGCTGTCAGCCCCGGCTCTCCTGCGGCAGCCCCCACTGTCGGGGAAGGGGAGGAGGACACCCGCCCAGAGAAGACAGGGACCCTTGCTCCCCACACAAAGGGGGCTTTTGTTTCTGCAAACAACCCCAAAATGTAGCCAGAGCTTACTCTGACTGCAAGGGTGGGAGGGGGGAAGCTGTGAACTTGGGCACTGAGGTTGAAATTGAACTGGAAGGGGGAAGAGTTCATGTTCATAAGAGTGCCTTGTATACCCCACAGGCACTGGTGGGTTGGGAGCCCCTCTGCCGAGGGGATCCTTTGCTCTCAGGTCAACAGGGCAGGGCCTTTAAAGGATCTTTTTTCCCTTTTTCTTCTGGTCCCAGACACAGTCCTCACCTTTAAAGTGGTCTGCTGGAGAAGGGGGGCAGAAGCTCTTGGGGATCTCCCAGGTCTCACCTCTACTGTCTAGAAACCATTTACAAAACAGGCGATAAGAGTGTGATTAAATCTTGCCGCATAGACAGATTGAAGCCTTTCCAAGCCCTGTTCCCATACCTTGCTGGAGCCTTGTAAAACCCTTGCCTTGCCATTTGGATTATGATTAACAGACAGTTTCCTCCCGGCTACGCTACAATTGCTCTAAGCCCATAGCTCTAAGAGCGTGCCTGAGGTCTCAGCTCTGGGTGCTAGCCCTCTCCCGGCTCCACACCGAGGCGGCATCGGGGTTTGCACCAGGCCCCTTCCCCTTCCCCACCTCCTTGCTTTGTGCGGGCAGAAAGCCCTGTGGGTGACCTGCTGAGGGCCAGCAGTGGTCCTGCCTGCGCCGGCTGATGGTCGTCGCTGCTCAGCCTCGCAGCAGCCCTAAAGCCCTAAACCAAGGCACGTGCTGTCCATGGGAACAAGCATGAAGGCCCTTACTATAGCTTACAGGAGCAGGCTGTGACCCTGCAGGCGCTTCCCGGGGTACGGTACCTCCCTCCGCGCCCACTGAAACGTGCGGGAAATCGCAGCGTCAGTAAGTGTCCTGACGCGGGGAGCAAGAAAACGCGTGAGGGAGGGGAGCGGTGAAGCGTGTCAGGTCGCCAAGTGGAAGAGCTGGGGTGGCTGCAGGTAGCGCTTTGTTTCGTCTGCGTCTCTGCGCTGTTCTTTTGAGCCGCTGTTCAAAGAAACGTTTGCTGTCAAAGATCCAGCGACTCAGCAGCTTGTGCCGGGATCGCAGACGGCAGCTCTCCCTCCGGCAGAGAAGGGCCTTTTAGGTAAAGTCCCCTGCAAAGCCAAGGTCTCTAAGGGAGCGATGTTTTGGACCTGTTCCCCCCTGGAGTAATGAACTTGGGAACAGGTGTGAACCCATCAGTCGCCTGTTACAATTTTCCAGCAAAGCAACAATGTAAGAAATGAGGATTTGCTACATCCTCTCTTTCCAAAGTGCAGCGCTCTAAAAAGCAGATGAAAAATGCTTTCTGCTGAACACTTCAATTCCTTGCACATATTTGCTCCTGTTCATCCCCTTTATCCACACACACACAAACTTCCACTGTGTTTTATTCAAGTGCTTTCAGGGGCATTTCAGAAAATCTCTCCTTTACATGTGCAAGACTGTATACTAAATTTCAGTCAGTGACCCCAGTCTAATTTTCCTCAAGAGATTTTACGACAGCTGGAGAGCGTTTGGAGCTTTTGAATCTTTAATTTCAGGGTCCTCCTGCGAGCAAGGAGCACCGAGAGATTTGCATCACAGCAAGGTCACACAGGTATCACTGATGCAGAGCTGGAAGGCCACGAGATTAAGTAGATGCAACTAAACACATAAAATGATCTGGAAAGCCCTTAGTACTGGGGGTGAGGAATGAGACTACAGGTTCACAGTTTGACACTCTAAGACGCGTGACTGCATTTGCAACACCGGCAGTTAACGCAGCACTTCGGCTGGATGGAAGTGCAGTGAGGAGAAAGCAGCTTCCATCGTCTAGAAATTAACTTAAAACAGTTGTTTCCTCTTTCAGGTTATGCCTAGATAACACTTTCTAAGCACCCTCCTTTAATAGGATCTTGTCTACAGATTAGCCGTTCTGAAAAGTTTGTGCTCCCTCATCAGAAGAGCGTGCGCAGCCCACAGCTCGCCTGCGGGCTTTTAAGGATTCCTCTTCCAGCCAGACCGACAGGCAGGACCTGCCGCAGCCGGCCGGCAGCAGGCAGCTGGGCAAGCCCTGGCTGTGGCAAGGAACGGCCCTTCTTACAGCAACGTGAAATGCAGGGAGAGGAACGGAACAGGGATGAGTCAAGCAATAGGAGAGAGGATCATAGAGACGAGGTGGAGTCGTGCGTGTGACTATACCACCAGAAGGAATGTGTGTATGAAACAGAGTGATACAGGATATGGTAACTTTGCTCCAGCTTACACGGATTTATAGCCTTTTTTTGTTTTGTCACCCTCTTGTTAGCCTTCCTTTCACAGCATTTTTATAGCTCCTAGGAAAGTTAAGAAAAACAAAAAATTCCCTTTCAAACTGAAAAGCTTGATTATCCCCTTGACTTAGCTCTTGCTTTTCCCCTATCCCATCCCTTTTTCTCCTGTAAGTAGGTGCTATAGCGTAATTTGAAACATTCCCTTCAGAGACACCAATCCTTGAGTCTGATGAGAAGGCAGGAGGGAGTCGGGTGATTTTGCAGCAGAACCCAATGTGCTGACTGCCGGCTATTTTTGTTTGCCTCACATCCAGCTGAAATCAGAAACCTGTTTGCCCGCTTACTTCATCAAGAAGCTCGTATCGCCACCTCTGGGAGCTACAGCACAAACCTCAGAGGAAGAAATGCGGCAACAACAGAAATGTTGGTTGGTTGGTTGGTTGGTTGGTTGGTTGAGATGCAGTTGTCTGGACTCCAGTCTGTAAAGCTGCTCAGTATATTCAGCTCCCTCTGTCTCTTTTGAAAGGCAGGCTTGGGAGCACCCCAAAAATCTCACGAAGTCCATCAGTAATCCAAGCATATTTTTAAAGTAGAAAATATTGAATTATACCTTATACCATGGTATCTGCATACAGGGACATAGCTTGTTTGTAATTCATAAGAACTGTAATGGAACCTTTTTTGCGCCACTGCTAGTGCTTGCTCAGGCATTTTGGCCCCTTGAGGGCTAGATCCCCTAATATGTCAGTGGTGGGAACCCGAGGACTTCTTAGCTCCCAGTTCCAGCTGTGCCCAGCTCCCCATCGGGCAGGGACACAGCTGCATGGCAGCCCCTCTCCCTTCTGCTCTTTAAAGCATGGAAAGTGGCAATACGGGCTGGGCTGAAGCTGTGGCGTGCTCCCATCCACTTCCCTCGACACGGGGACGAGTTGCCAGCACTTGTGCCCCAGGCGGTCCAGACAAAGCTGAAGCCGATGCGGTTGATGTGTGTGCAGCTGCTCCTTGGCCGACATGTGCAGAGGGATGAGTGCGGGTGTCAGACCGTAGCCAACAGCATGAGGCTGAGCTCAGCAAGAGGAAGGGCACGGGCTTTGCAAAGACAAGGAGGTATCTCCATGGTCAGATGTGACTTGCTCCTTGTTCCACTCCATTGACCTCGGTTTTCCATCTTCAATAGTTATGTTGTGTTGTGTTGTGTTGTGTTATGTTATGGCCAGACTCCCTTTTGGAGGGAGCTAGTAGTTCCCTGCAAGATGAAACCCAAGAACAGCTAAGACAGCTCACGGTATCAATGACCGCCGCAAACCTGGCTCCCCCCAGGCATGGAGAAGATGTTTGAATAGCATCTTTTGCAAGGGCCAGCATTCATTCACCCTGCAAAACAGCCACCAGGGCTAGCTGCAACACAGCCTGCTTGCCATTTTGAGCACTTTAAACTGAAACGCTACGAAAAACGATGACTACCATGGGGCCAGCCACGTGGCTCTCACGCGGCCCCGGCAGCTGGCTGCGGCAAGCTGCCCGAGTCCACCCCTCCCCGCCGGGCTGGAGGCACAAACCCTTCCTTGGTGCAAGCCAGCAGGCCCACCCAGGTGTGGGCTGCGATTTTCCTACCGCGTAAAAAATGTGACACGTGGGTGGCCCAAGAGCGGGAGCGGCCCCCGCGTGACAGGTAGGGCATCCCTCGCGTCCGGGCCATGGTCCTCGGAGGTGACGGGCAGAAGAGCTGGAGGGAGATGTGTGGAGGCAGCAGGTGAAACCCAGGAAATAAGAGCGATATCCTTGCAAGAACATCGTGCAATTGGCTGCCCTTCTGCTGAAAGACGTATTTAATTCACTCGGAGAAAAAGATCTCTGTCAGAGGAAATGGTGTTCACAGAAGAGATGCTGTTTTGTCCCTGGAATTATGCAAAGTGGACAAAAATACATGGCAGCAAGGTCACTCCCTGTGATTTGCCATTTTCTTTGCCTAGAGACCAGAAAAGGTAATTCTATTTCACACGCAGACAAATGGTTTGAAATCTGCTTCATAGCTCAAAAGCAGGCAAATAAAAAGCACCAGAGATGCTGGAAAAGTCTCTCTTGGAAATGAAACGCAGCGTACGCTGCAGCCGAAAGTTCAGCCGTGCAGTTAATGAGGTGTGACTGTTTGCTTTTGCTTTAAAGTCACACCGTGCTTTAGACACTTGAAAAAATCTGTTTTAGCTCTAAGACTAAATGAGAAATAAGTTCTTTTTCTCACACCCTTTCCCATTTGTACTATTTTTAGCAATGGGCTTGTCCTTGTCAGTATATCAAATGGGGCAGATGACAGGTTTCAAGGGCGATGGCCAGAGGGGGAAAATGAAGCAAGATCATCGAAGCGGTTGGGTGAGGCCGAGGTGGTCCAGCGGTGCCGCCAGCGGCGCAGTCCGTCGCGCCGTGGTCTGTGGCGCGGCCATCTCTAGCGAAGCCTCGCCGCTCTATGCAATGGCAATCGAAACGGAGCGGCTGCGGGCACCGGGGACTGTGAACTACCTCGGGAAAGAAAAGTCAAGTGGCCAAACTCATCTGGGAGAGGAGCTCTGCCTCCTGTCCTCTGCGATAGGATTAATGAGAGCCGGCAGGTCACGGGAAGGGGCGGAGGAGCAGATGTGTAAGGGGTCATTACCTGCAAGGGAGGCAGAGACCGTGTTTTGCTCTTGACTGAAATACTAAATACAGAAGAAAGCGACAGGGAGGCTATCGATACAAAGTGCTTTGCCACTGAAGAGCTGACTTCCATCATCGGATTGTGGTGAAAGAGTCCAGTGACCTTTGCAGTATTAAATGCTATATTAAAGTAGCAGGTATTATTTATTAAGTGTTAACATTCTTCCCTAGTTTTTAGGAAAGGATGAAACAAGCAGGTGCCTGAGTGATAAGCACGGCATAAAAATCTAGCTGAATCACTGCCGTCACACTCAAATAATTGTATTAATTTGAAACTGGGTTTCCTGGAATAGTGTCATGAGATACCCATTTCCTCTTCGAGACAAACCGGACAGCTGAGGAGATGCTGCAGAGTGGATTAAGCAAGAGATAGCGCTCTAATCCCAGTTTTCCTCTCTCACTTGGCATCCCTGGGAAGGACAGCATCCCTGTCCTTCTGATTTCTCATTTGTAAAATGGGGATGATAACTGCTCATCTCTCAGGGCCATTATGAAGATTAATGTGTTTACAAAAGCATTTAAAATGCTAAGTACTTTTGGTTCCAGTCCTGTGAGATTGGAAATGCCAGCACTGAGGTGCTGAAAACCGTAAGCTCTTGCTAACTCTAGTGGAAACTGTGGCTGCCCAGCACTTTACAAGAACGGGGAGAAAGATGCCATTGCAAAAGTCATGAAGCCCCATCCTCCTTTGTTGCATAAAATGAGAGCCGCACCATGCCGGCATTGTATCTGATAGGGCAGGTAACACAAAAAAATCATCATTTAATTTCATCCTAAGAAAATTATTGAAGACTTTTCATTTGGAAACATGTTGATGTAGTTTATCTAAGGACCGATTCCCGCACCTTTGGTTACAACCGGATTTTTGGCATCAGTATAGAATAGAGTATCAGCCCAGAATTTGCTGTACTTCTGTTAAGCTTTAAACTCCCTCACGGTCAACACAGACTCTCAATTAGCCTTAAAAACCCTCTTGTTTCATTATTACCAATACAGCCAATTTTAGCCACTTTTCTTGCAAAATGCGTGACAAATGAAACCAAAACCCAAATCAAGCTTCAGAACCCCTTAGTCTTAGCATTTGTGAAGAATAACCAGCACTGACCCTTTGCCATACGCTCCTTCACCCAGCCCCTAGGATCAGACAGAGGAGCAGTTAACTGCATCTGAATCCAGTAAGGTCCCTGCATTACTACTACCTCTTCCAGCCCACGCAGAAGTGAAAGTCAGCGGCGTTGGCGGGCTTCAGGCTTCCTTTCACCAATTCTCTTTTTCACAGTGAAACAAACTTAACAAATTTGAGAAAGGCACAGGAACAGGGAGAGGAGTGGGCTGGAGGAATTGGTGAACCAGGGATGATAATGGTCTCCCCGAAGGGAGCACTAACTCTGTGGGTAAGGGGAGGGATGAGAGAGGTCGCGGCTGTATGCGCCAAGGCTGAGGAGCAAAGTGGGGTGGGGCGGTTTACTGAGAAGATGACAACTTTTATGTGAGAGCGAGACCGGATGCCAACCTGCAGGAAAAAAAAAGGTCCGTCTGTGCACGGCTATGTGCAGACAGACCAGGCGTGCTGATGTGTCCCAGTAAAAGCCAGCTGAAGAACATGGCCAGGACTGGTAAGATTTTGTGATGAATTTGAGATCTAATTTTACATCTGATGCCCAGGACTTCAAATCTGTGTGTACAGAGCGTCTGCTGATTATTTTTTTTAAGACGTCATATGAAAAGTAAATATCAAAGCTGTACGCTTTGACTCACTTGTAATACCAATAAAACCCATAAAATGTTAAGTTGTCCTCATATATTTGGCAGGCTCTGAAAATGATGGTTCAGGAGATGGATCGCCGATGTTATCCACCGTTACAGTAACGCCTCCTCCTGCTATGCGTTCTTCGACCGCGGCTGACCGCGAGGCAGTACTTGCCACTGCGAGCACTACTGAAAGCAGCTTTGAAACAAAAAGTACTCCGAGTACTGAACTGAACGCCGTGAACAATCAGGACAGCCTAGAAGCAGCGGAACAGTCTATCTTGACATATGTTGTCCCCGTCGCGCTGCTGGTCCTGCTGATCTTGCTGATCGTATTTTTTGTAGTACATCATAAAAGGAAAAAGTCTAAGCAAGGTAAATCTGACTTCTCATGCATCAGAAGGACATTTTTAGGACGCGCTCGACGTTAGCGAAATGTTATGCGGAGGCCTGGGATGCCACGTTTAGGATATTCTCCTCCGGTTGTAGTTGCTCGTTTGATAGACAGGAAAGGGATCCGCTCCCGGCCAGCGGTGCCTGGGCGCGCACCTCTCCTTGTGCGGGAGCTAGTTCTGGTTCTTGGCACCTCCTGCTCACGCTGCACGCCCACGGGAGCCGCGGCACCGAGCTCCGGCTCCTGGCAACGCCGGGAATGGTGTCCGGACCCGACCGTGCGGCGGCAAACGCTTGCTCTTCTCTTTATGCTCAGTAACTTCACGCAAGGTGAATTCAATGCTTCTATTGCCTGTGCTGCCCAGGAGGTAAAGTTGCCCGGAGCTCCAACAAAATAAGAACAAGCAAAACCGTTTTGTGGAAGACTTTTAAGGGAACCTGTAGGGTGGTGGCAGCTATGAAGATACCACAATAAACGAGCTAGGAATCCCGCGGTCAGACTGCCCAGGTGCTGCGATAGGGAGAGCAGTGCTTCAGGAAGGTACTTTGATCTGTTAGCAAAGAGATCAATAACTCGGAGTGTCAAGCCACAGAAAACAAACTGAGGTGTCATATTAAAACCCTGCAGTTGGTAAGTGAAGTCCTGAAATGGTCCTATCAGTGTCTCTACAGAAGAGGAGTGCAGCTGTAAGCTCCTCAGCCTGCAGACAGTGACATACATTCGATACAGATTTTAAGTCCATTTTTCAGGGCATTTTTAGGCTGCACCTGCCTTATCGCTGTGTCACCCTCACAGCGAACTCTAAATTCACGACCAGGGCACCTAGGTGCCCACCTGTTTCTGGATGACCTGAGATGCAGGTACACTCTTCAGAGGGACGGGAAATGTGGTGCCTTGCAGGGGCACAATCCTGGGGTCTCTTGCCCTGTGCCTATTGCCTGGATTTTGGGCATCCTCAAGGCAGGGGCAGATGCTTCTGTGGCCCTGGCGTGGCTCTGCACTCAGGAAACATGCTGGGACGAGTGGGAGGTGTCAGCACCCATTGGCAACAATGAATTAAAAATAGTCTGATGTAAGACAGTATATAATGTGAAGCCTATATGCAGTTCTTTATTCTTTTTTGAGGACTGAGGCTTTTCAGTCACTTGAGTCCCAGAGAGGAAGTTATTTATCTGCGTAATGGCTGTTACACTATTTTTTTTTTCCCATCTTTGCTTTGTCCTGGGGTCATAACTAGCTTTGAATCCCTTTTGACATCTGGCCAGTTCAGCTTCATTTGCCTAACTGAGATTTAATCTGCCATGCAAGTCCACACCCCCCTTCTTCTCTCCATGAGTGGCTCTCAGAGGCTCCAGGCAGAGCTGGATTGTCCCGACGCTTCCAGTAAACAATTTTTGTGCAGCAGTGGTTCCTTTTCAGGATTCCCTTTCTCTCATGACACCTGTTTTGCTTAGGGAAGCGTGCACCTGCAGCGTCCTGCCCACCGCGGCACTAACACTCGGTTTCCTCCCAGCACGGCTGCGCTAATAATGAGCTGCCATTAGTGTGTTCAAGATTAAAAGTAATAGGTTCCTCTGAAAATTACAAACAGGATGAGATGTTTTGTCTTTCATCTACAAGTTAACTATTACGCCTTTTGAAAATGCAACCTGTTTTACGCGACCCTATTAAAGGCTTGCTTGCAGTCTGGACCCTGTATATTTAAAGAGCAGAACTATGAACACCAATTTTTTTCTTTTCCAGATGAGCTGGGAAGCGAAAATGTGAAAAGGTAAAGTCTATGAACATCACTCTCTCTTTCTTTTTTGGTCTTTAACAGGATATTATGATTTTTGGCTCCTTCACTCCCCGTTTCAATTCAGTCGTACACTAAACACCATTACCTTTTGCCATCAGTTGCTCCAGTTCAGTATCTCCAGAGGTGGCCCCACAGGCACCCACCACCCACCCACCCCTACGCCTGCTCTAGGCACCCACGGCTCCCCCAGCCCCAAGACATACCAGATACTCCATGAGCAAAGGGGATCAGTTCCCAGGCTTGTCACAAGCTTTTATTATTCAGAATAAGCTCTGTGCCTTGCTCCTGTTTTTCAAGTTTGTCTTCTCACTCCGAGGTGAGGCAGAAAGGCTCGCCCCGCTGCCGCGGCAGCGATGCCTGCGCTGCTGGGAAAGCAAGCCAAAAGCTGAGTGGTTCTTCGAGTGATAATTTTTATCATTACCTTTTATTGAGCTCCATCTTGCTTATCAATGCCAGAAGTTATTAAATTGGCCTCACAGGACCAAAAAAAAAAAAAAAAAATTTTTTTTTTTCCTAAAAATATTTTTTCTACCATGTCACTCCGGGAATGATCAGCAAAGGGAGGGTAAACGGAGGTGTTTAAATAAATGCAGAGTTACTCTACTCATGCTCTTTCCTTTTGAAGTTGCTGTCAATGTCATTCACAGCTGGGATGAAACTTTAGGCCCTCTGCTTTTATCACTGGAGCAGCGTGACTTTTGCCACGTGTTCTAGCAGGGCAGAGACAAATTATTTTATTTTTCAGTTTTCTGTTCACAGTAGGGCCAGTTCTGGAACAGCTGCAGCGGTCCTGTGTCCTGGCACAGACCAGACCGTGCCACCCAAGTACCTCCCCATGCCACCTCCCAGCCAGCCCAACCTCTGCCCAGGGCCGGCATCTTGCTGCCGCTCCTCCAAATCAGTTCGCAGCCGTTTCGCTTGCACCCCTTGGGCTGACGTCTTCGCAGATTACTAGGCTAGGACGGCTTTCCAGGGTTTATACGTGTGCCTGGAATTATGAACGATTCATACAAAATTACTACATCGTGAACTGTTTGAATTAAACATTTTGTGTAATGCCTTTTCTTCCCCTCTCTCCTCACAAGTCCTATTTTTGAAGAAGACACACCCTCTGTTATGGAGATAGAAATGGAAGAGCTTGATAAATGGATGAACAGCATGAACAAAAATGGTACACGGTAACCCCTCTACTCCACCATCCCTCTCTTTCTAGCTGACATAGATCCCATGCATAGAAAAATCGATGTAAGGCATTTTGTATGGATGTCACTGCTTTCCCTTCAACATTTTTAGTTGTGTTCTTGACTCCCTGCTACTAAAATAGCAGCACAAATGTCAGGGGTAGAATTGTTCAGGGGAGTATTTTAGTTTGTGTGGGAGCTTACTTTTAACATATGATGGAATATCATAAATGTTTTGAGTTTCTAGTAGACACCTCTATTAAACACACGTATAGCTGTGAACAGTATTTATATTTTTAAATACACGTTTAATGCTAAATACCAGTTTCTGAAGCATCTAGTCCTTTCAGTCTTCAGAGCTTCTCCACTTCTGTGCTCCACATTGCGCTATTGTAGAAGAAACACACCTTTACCCATAGTTCAAGCCACTGTTTACTTAAAACTGCTGCCAGCATCCTATGAATACATCCCTCCCCTCTCTGTGTCCTTTCCCTCGCTTGTCATCTCTACCGCATGGAACGCAAGCTGCTCTTTGCTGCCAGCACCATTCACCATCTACATCTTCTCTGGCAAGTCTATCAGCCCATGGAGCAATTAGTTATCACTTTATTACCTGCCGTAATGACCACCAGCAGCATCTTCAGCTCTTTCTTAGCTACTTTTAGGTATCTTGTATTTCCCAACTCCGCCATTTTCCTCCCAACCGAAATCTCCCAGCCAAAATCTCCCTGGGCCCTGCTTCCTCCTTCAAGGCTCTCCTCAAAAAAACGCAGGTCTTCAGTAAGGCGTGAATTATCCGAGGCCCGATTTTGAACCGCTTAACAGCTTCTCACTGGCTGGGGAATGCTGAAACCCTGATGCTCGTTTCATTCCTGGTCCCTTGCCTTATATCCAAATGGCTCATTTGCCTGACCTCCTAGGGATGCTTTGTTTTTCAGGACATAAAACTCTTCGGAGCATTTCCTTGCGTTAGCACAGTGCTCCACATGATGGGGCTTTGACCTTCGCAGTCCGCAAGCTCTAGCAGAAAACATGTGCTACGCAGCAGTAGTGAAATAGAGACATTAAGTATAGGACACGGGGAAATAGTGCCGTAAAATATTTTTTTAAATTCTGTGGACAGAAAGGAGCAAATAGTTTACATCTGGGGTGGGGTTTTTTTTGTTAGCCTTCCCTAAACCCCTGCCCCAAATTCCCAGCTGGACTATAAAGCATAGGTGCAACTATAAGCAGTGGAAGATTAACACATAGCCCTCCTCATGGCAGTTTATAAGAAATAGTCCTTAAAAGTAGTTCGTTTGTATAGATGTACATAAACAACTGAAAGACATACAATAAAGAAATTATGGCAACACCTATCAAAGGGAAGGAGGATTTAAAACATATAACATTTACGCTATGGGGACCATGCAGCTTTTACAGCTAAAAGGGTGCAGAAAAGCATCTGCAGTTTTACATTCTAGAGAGACTGCATGATAAAAGTTGATGCAATTTTGAACTAAATTTAGAAGAGCTGCCAAGAGTAACTATAGTCTTGTTTCTTACCCTTTTTCAGCTGACTGTGAATGTTTGCCTACTGTAAGAGAAGAAGAAAAAGAATCTATTGCCAACCCAAGGTACTTTTAGTTCATTATATTATTTGAAGAACTATGGTTGATGTCATTCCAAAATAATCTATTTTTTTTAATATGTGATTATAAATAGAGTGATCCTTTGGTCTATTTAGCTTTTAAACTTTTTAAATAGGAACTTTAATTTCAACTTAAACAAAAAGGCTTGACGTTTAGTTCTAAACCAGTCCTTGCTTGTGAACTGCACCGCTAAATAATCTTGCGGTTGTAAACCTGTGCAAGACAGACAACCAGATGGCACAGATGGAGTTTCACTCGCTGATCAGACTTTAATCACAGTTTCCCAAGGTGTTAATACAAGCATTCAGCATAGCTTCCTCGGCACTCCTCACTCCCCTCTGCCGCCGGGTGCCTGCAGGTCCCCGAGAACTGCTGCCAGATGTTTTGGCTGGAGCTGCGACCTGCCCAACAGGGGCTGGTCCCACCCCGAGAGAAACCCAAAGGACCTTGCCGGTGCCGCCGCGCAGCGCTCCCCCGGAGCTGGCGCTCGCTCGTGGTCCAAGCAGAGATCCCAGAGGGATGCAAAACCACAACCCTGACAGCTTGTAAACTTAAATTCGTTCTGGCTGGTTTCCTCAGGATTTTGGCCAGAACCCCTAAGCCTCTCTCAAAACTCCCATTTCCCCTAATTAAAAATCATGGTTCCAGCTGGAAGCAAGGGGCTGTCCATCGCCCTTTCCTGCACGCTTGTGTTACAGCTGCATTTTGGGGAGTGGGCAAAGCAACTCCTCTGTGCCAGGTTATGATAACAGACAATTAAACCACCCTGTGTGCCAAGAAAATCCCTGGTGCAGTGGAAGCAGCGGACGCAAGCAGGCGAGGCGGGGAGCAGGGAGGAGTGGCAGGAGGAGGACCTAGGTCTTCCCCTTGCCATGGCACCAGATAACTCAGCTCAACAGGCCCCTCTGATGGAGCTGCACCTCCCTCTAGACCTTCGTGATATCCCGATCCCCCCGTTTTCTGAGTTTCCTTGCTCAGGAGTGAAAGAGCCGTGATGTTAAGTCACCGCTGCTGGAGACTCCGCAACTCAGCGGCTCCAAAGCTGCAGCTTCAGGGTAGCTTTTGGATGGGGCTGCTGCACTGCAGCTATTTGTATTTAAAAGGTTTCTGCTTACACCTATTGCAAGAGAAATGGTTGTTGTGGAGGGGTTTGTTTGTTTGTTTTTGTGGTTTTTTGTTTTTGTTTTTGTTTTTTTAAATAAATCTCAGATTCTAGGTTCCAGATGCAAGCAAGCACAATAATTTTACCCTGAGCGGCTGGAAAAGATGCTGGATTCACTAGCCAGCTGGGTCTTCCCTTCCAGCCTCTAAATAACAATTCAGAGGGGGAAAATTGTTAAGGAGAGGCAGCTGCACAGTGGTGCTCTTAAAAAAAAAAACAGGTTTGCTGAGCATAGCACTGACTATAGGAGGGAGTATAGGACAAAGTGCGCTTGAGCCATATGCTAACACCAGCAGAAGTTAGTCATGCTCTGAAGGGCTTTTTAGGCACAACGACACCCTGAGCATTAAGGCATTAAGTTTACTTCCCAAAACTTATCAGTTCATTTTCAGGGGAAAAAAAAAAGTCATCATGACCTACCAGCTTGAGCTGACATTTTAAATACCATCCTTGCTAAAGTGCTTTTGTACTAGATTTGCATTAACCCCATCAGAAGGTGGGGGTTTTTGCTTCTGACTGGCAAAAGGTATCTTTGGGCTACACCCTACCTCAAGTTCCCCACCTGTAAAAGAGAGATATTGTCACTTCAAAGCGCTACAGCGAGGCTTAAGCCTTGATGCAGAAAAGCAGCCCTGTTCAGATAAGTATGCTTCAGCCAGAGTGAAGGTATTCACAGTATTTAAGCATATTTTCTTATGAGTGGTATCTTAGGGTAAAGACTGTAGAGAAATTTATGCCTCTAAATCATAGGAAGGCAAACAAATGCCAATAAAAAGAGGGGATTTATCTCTAAAATGTTGAGTGGCTCAGACAAAGGATATTAGTTGAATACAAAGTGCAAGATTATTAGGTTCGATTTCAGATTCTGAAAGACTGCTTTGCTTGGGTAAATTTCTTCTCAAGTTATGGTAATTCTTTTTTTAGATTTTATTGATGATATTTCAATACGGGAAACATCTCAAGGCCTCACTGAACATAGCTGGCTGAGTTTTGTTTTCTTGCTTCATAAAGATGCTGGGGAGAGTTCATCAAAACCCAAATGTTTTGAACTATGAATTGATTTTCATATCATTTTGAAAACATCTCTGACTAAACGTTTCAATAATGACATTTTGACATTTTCATAATGAAAGTTGTTCCAAAACTACTTTTCAGAGTAAGTGACTTTTTCATAGCAGATTTATGAGAAGTTTAAATAACAGAACCCTGTGGTGGTGAAATATTTCTAGGTGTTTCCCTTAAAACTACTTTTTCAAATTTCCTTTTACATGAAGTTTTGAAATGTGCTTAATTTCTAAGTGAAAAGGGATCTGAAGTGGTGGGATTTCCTGGTAAACAAAAAAAATGGGTTCCCGTTTATTTCTGCAATTGAACCTTATCAGACCAAGATCTGCTGCTTTCCCTGACCAAACTCTCAGCTGAATGATGTCAGAAAGAGAACTACATACAGAGAAATAGATGTTTTCAGCAGCTCTTTTGAGCAAGGACAGTGAAAGACTATGAAGTAAAACGAAACAAAGCTATTATTATGGCAAAAATTTGTACTCCTGAGCATCAAGGACGCAGATCTGTGCACAAGAGGCGAGATACGACAGTCTGGGCTCCTTGGTAGGTGCAGGTCGTCTGCCTTGCGCATAAGCTAAGTTAAAAATATATTTTTAAAAAACATATCCACATATGTATGTATTTAAAATAACAGATCTTGCCTTTGAAACCTGGTGCTAAAATTCTGATTGCACCCGAGCAGAGAACCACGAAACCTCCCCAGCCTGGCCGGGGCTCCCGTCCCGCGCACGCAGGAGGGAGGGAGCGGGCCGGCGGGCGGCCGGCGAGGGATGATGCTCCCCTGGTGCACAAGCGGGTGCAAGGCCAATCTCTTCTCTGGGGTCCTTTACTCCCCCGGCCTGTCGCCTTCACAGCACGGGTCTTCGTAGGCTGCCGAGTACCCCTCGGCTCTACCCCGAGGGGGTTTGGTTTTCCTTGGGCACCCTCCCGGTCTTTCTGTCTGAAAAAGAGTGACTCCTTCTTATGGAGAGATGTTCCAGGTGGGGAATAAGTCGGTACAGAAAGCAATACTCCTTTCCCAGGCTGTGCCTCAGTTTGGCAAGGAACTTAAAAAAACACACGAAATATTAAGGCTATTAGTGACCGGTTTAACTTCAGAGGTGGTTTAAACCCTGGCTGTTAATGCTGACTGAAATCTAGCCAGCCGATAAAAGAAAAAGTCACATTTTTAATATGGGCATGAAGAAAACATTTATTAATAAAGTGCTAGGGAGCAAGCTAGCTAGGCAGAAACCAGCAGGGCAAAGAAAATTCACCTGTTACAAGGCCAGATTTAATACAAAAACTCCATCTGTCAAAAATTATCCTCACCTGTGGAAAGAGGGGGATTTGATTGCTCAGTCCTCACCTGGGAGCAGGAGAAAGGGTGCCGGGGGTAGCCACTAACCAGCAGGGAAATCAGACCAGCCCTTGCTGGCAGCATCTAGCTCCTCAGAGGGGGTCCTTCCATGCGTTGCACGGCTGACCCGTTGGTTTTCGGACAGCACCTTCTCATGGACTCCAGAGATACTCTTGCATATTATTTCCTGCTAACTGCTGAGACAACTAACCCAACAGCATGACACCGGTGTGTTTTTTTTTTTCTTTTCCTTTTCCGCGTATACGCAGTGATGGTGAATCATGAAGTCAGAACGGCAAAGAACTGGTTAAAGGGACGCAGTGCACAAGCTAACGATCCCCCAGATACTGGGTGAAATGGATTTACATACAATTCATCTCAAAAGGCCAGAGAAGCAAATGCTTTTGTTGTGTCCTGCTACATAGAGTCTTCACAAAGGAAACCTCACCAAGGGGAAGAAAAAAAAAAAAAAAAAAAGAAAAAAAAAGGAGAAGCACTACAGTAAGATTAGGGGCTGATTTAAATTCCTTCTGCAACGAGATTCATCACAAATCAAGAGAAGCCTCTTCCCCCGCCACCCCCAAGTTCTCAAAATAGTCCGTGTTTCTGTCTAGTTCTTCAGCTGTATGTCGTGCAGAACCACTTCTGTTCAAGTTTGGTGGGCTTCTTTGTATTTTTTGTGGGTGGATTTTTTTTTTTTAAATATAAACAGCATCTATAATTCTGGACTACCCTGGTTTGGCAGATGTGAAGCTCATCCTATGCAATATTTGGTTTTCAATCTGCTTTTTGGTAACGGCGCACTGATTTGCACAGGACTTCTGCTGGAGAGGTACCAGAGCAGGACTGACAGACCAGCTCTGACGACAGAGCAGCTGAAAAGCCTCTCAAAGGACTCAACGGAAGCGACTGCAGCCCAGAGAGGGCATGGTCTTTGTAGTGTGCTTTTTGGTTTTCTAATTAAAGGCATTGTACAAGTGAAAAATGTTATTTCAAGGTTGCCTTTCAGTTCGTTATCTCCACAGATTAGTAGCCTGGACTAGCTCTCACCTCCCTGCCCAGTGCTGCTCTCTAACAACCACCTACTTCAGGAATATTCAACTTGAAAACTTTTTTAAAAAAATAAGAGAGGTTGAAAAATTGAACAGTTTGGTACTCACACCAAACACAAGCTTAAATGAGTATGTGCTACATGTAACTACTTGCTCAAGGTTTTCAGATGCAATAAGATTTCTGCTTCTTCTGGTTTTGAACATCATTGAGCTTGGAATACCTGAAAGACATTGACTTCTAAATGTGCCTGATCACCTTTAATGACACTGGGCCGGGGTGGGGAATCAGACTCCTGAGATACCTCAAGGTAGGAATATAAATATTGTGATCACGTCCATTGATGTTCGGTGGCATATCACCTATGGA